CCTCATAGTGGATTGTTACAGCCACTTCCTATACCCAGTATCCCATAGTCTCATTCATCGATGGATTTCATTGTTGAACTGCCTAGTTCCAGTGGGTATACAACCATCCTCATGGTAGTTGACAGTTTTCCCAAAATGGTACACTTCACTCCACTTAAAAAATTGCCATTGTCTCAGGATCTGGTGCACATATTTATACGCGATATTGTCAGGCTACATGGTATTCCTCAAAATATTGTGTCTCACAGTTTTCTCGTGGTTCCTTACAGTATTTGGTTGATTGGAGGGGGTATGGGCCTGCTGACCGTTCCTGGGTTTCGGCTTCTGATATCAATGCTGGCCATAAAGTTCGTTCTTTTCCAGCCAAGTTACCTGTCAAACCTGGTCTTCAGGTGGAGGATAATGTCACGTATTCATCCGCACATACAAATGTGGTTAATGGCATATACCGTCCTGACAGGAAAAGTTGTGCCGAGCAGCAACCATGCACATGGAAACCTGGTAATTGCTTTTGGGGTCAAAGGCTGGTTACGGCCAATCAGATCCACAGGAGGGTTTGTGCTGAGCAGCAATCATGCACATGGAAACCTGGTAATTGGTCTTGAGGTCAAAGGCCGGTTATGGCCAAGCGGATCCACAGGAGTGGTATTTAAACCCAATTTTCCTTTTGCTCATTGCCCTGTCATGGTTTTTTCCTGATGGTAATCCGAGAGCGCGTTCCTGATCTTGATTTTCTGGTATTTGACTTTGGCTTCATTTTGACTTCCCTGAATTCTGGTGTCCTTGACTTTTGGCTTTCCTTCATAGTTGTGTCTGATTCTGTGTTCCTGACCTCGGCAAGTAATTTGACTATTCTTAGATACGTTAAGTATTCTAAGGTCTGGTTATACGTTATCCTTAGTCCTAGGTGTGACACAGTTTTGTGTGCTGGATCAACTTGTAATCCTGACAGCTGAGGACTTACGTCTATCTTCTGTCTGTACTCCCACCTCTGATGCTCGCCTTCAAGACTTCAAGTGCTGCACCGTTCCTGTGGAACTCACTTCCTTCCTCCGTTAGATACTCACCAGTCTCCACTCCTTCAAAAAAATCATTAAAAACCCACTTCTTCATGAAAGCGTATCAATTAAACTGTTAATAGCTCCAGACTGATTCCGCTCTTGTAACGGTCATTTGTGTAATACTATCCTTATCTTTTGTGTCACTTTACCCCACTCCCTCTAGCATGTAAGCTCATTGAATCCAAAAGAGGTAATAAGTTTACCAAGAGAGGCAGTATAGAGAAAATAGAAGGGGACCAAGGACAGACCCTTGGGGAACTCCAACCGAGAGAGGACGAGGGGAGGAGGTATCCTTGGAAAAGGAGACACTGCATGAGCATGGGGAGAGATAGGAGGAAAACCAAGAGAGGACAGAGTCACAGAGACCGAGCGATTGAAGAGTTTGAAGGAGGAGAGCATGATCAACGGTGTCAAAGGCAGCAGAGGAGAATTAATATGGAGTAGTGACCTTTGGATTTAGCGGAGATTAGGTCATTAGTCACTTTGATAAGAGCAGTCTCAGTAGAGTGGAGAGGGCGGAAGCCAGACTGAAGAGGGTCAAGGAGAGAGTTGGAATTAAGGAAGCGACACACGGGTAAAGACAAGTCTTTCCAAGAGCTTTGATGAGAAAGGGAGCAGGGATATGGGCCGATAGTTAGAAGGGGAGGAAGGGTCAAGAGATGTTTTTTTCAGGATAGGTATTACAGTGGCATGTTTAAGGTCAGCAGGAATAGTGCCAGAAGAGAAAGAACAGTTAAAGATGTGTGTTAGGGTAGGCACAAGACAAGGGGAGAGAGATCTGATGAGGTGAGATGGGACAGGATCGAGCGGGCAAGTGGTGGGGCGAGAGGAATGGAGAAGCGCAGCCACCTCTTGTTCAGTAGCCAGGGTAGAAAGTCTGGAGGGTAGGGAAAGCATGATTTACATGTGGTTGAGAAAGAGAACGGCAAGGAGGGGAGAATTGTTTCCTTAGCTGTTCAATCTTGTCGGTAAAGTAGCATGCAAAGCTATCAGCTGTAAGGTTAGTTTGGGGGGTGGCCACAGCAGGGCGGAGAAGGGAATTAAAGGTGTCAAAGAGACGTCTGGGATTGCGGGAGCATGAACTAATGAGAGAGGAAAAGTATGACTGTTTGGCGAGGGCAAGGGCTGCGCTGTATGAAAGCAACATGAATCTATAATGGAGAAAGTCTGCCTGGGTGCGGGACTTCCTCCAGGAGCGTTCAGCACAACGGGAGCAACTCTGCAGATAGCGTGTTGATTTATTATGCCAAGGTTGGGGTCGTGTCCTCCTCGAGATGCATGTTTGGAGTGGGGCTGCAGCGTTCAAGGCAGATGTGAGGGTAGTGTTATATGTGGATGTAACAGAACTATGCTGTATGCCTGGGCCAGTGAACTAACCAAAAGCAGCAGGAATTCGTCACATTTAGTGCATTGCAACCATTCGAATGGATTCGCATGAATTCCCTGTGTAAAGTATAGGTGGCCGCCATTTCGGGACTTTACACGTGGCCGCGGCCATCTTACGTGCGAACAGCGGTGTTTGCCTGTCGACGCGTGGAACTAAAATCGGATACGCAAACAGGCGAACACCGCTGAGTCCTCCATACTTCCAGAAGTTCGCACGGAAACTACCGAATCACCGGACGTTCGGTAGTTATGTTCAATCATCTATGGGGATTGCGGCGAACCCCGAGATTCGAATGGATGGCAAGAATTTCATACCTTTTTACCAGGCGAACGGAGACCGACCGCAAGGCCAAAACTCATGGAACTATTTTCGGCTAGTTGGTCTGTGCGGTCGGTCAAAACTTTGGAACTCTGTATCTCCCGAACCATTCATCCGAATGGGCTGATTTTTGGACATGTTGGTCCCCTGAATGAGAGCTATCAAGCGACCCAGGATTTAAAGCTGTACCCCCTGTTTTTGGGGAACATCCAGAACTGGGGTAAAATGTTGTACGTTTTAATTATGTTATATGTTATCTGAGGGGAGGAGACGTGGGGGTGTTACCAGGTATATGATTGGGTGTTTTTATCCTCCCCCTGGGAGTATCCTGTGTGTACCTGATCCCAATAAAAAGCAGGCTGGGTGTTCCAGTCCTCAGATCTTCTTGACCCTTCAAAACGTAGCCTTGTCTCGTTCTTGGAAGGGGATTATTTGGGAATGTTATTCTGCTCCTGTTACAGCTGAACCTGACTCTTACTCTGGATATCGTGGATGGGATTATACCAGCTTACTTCTCCACAGCAGCTTAAAGGGGAAAAAGGACGTCTCCAACGGCAGATACCCTCACTCTACCCGGGTAGCCGTTACATTGGTGGCAGCGGTGGGATGGTCCTTTTATCCAGAGAACAAGTGCTGAATGGAGGCTCAGTACGCCAAGCTGAAAAGACCCACATTAAAGGATTTATTGGAGAGTCGTGGTAGGAGTGCCAGCAACAGACCACGGAGGGAGCTGATAGCTGACCTACTAGAACTGGACGAAATGGATAGGTCCATGGAGGGAACAGAACCTCTTGCACCTGTCAGCGAGGACGATGAAATTTCTGCCATTGTACAGCGGAGATTAGCTTGGTATCCAGAAAGATCCACGGAGCTAATAAACCAGCTGCTCCGGGAAACAAGGGAGGAGATACAAACTAAGAGGGGACAAGAAGCGGAACTGGTAAGAGCTAGACAGCCCATTACACAGGCAGTTCCTACCCCCCCACCCGCTGCTACAGGGAGGAAAATACCGTTCACTGCATTTAAAGCGTTTATAGAGAATGAAGAAGAAATTGACGGATATTTAGCGGACTTTGAGAGACAATGCTCGCTACACCAAGTACCACCAGACCAATGGGTTACTATTCTGGCTGGAAAGCTCTCAGGAAAAGCAAATGAGGCTTTTCGGGCACTTACTACGGAAGATATAACGCAGTATCAACGGGTGAAAGCTGCACTACTCACCCGATATGCGGTCACCCCAGAAGCATATCGCCGTCGCTTCCGGGAGTCCAAAAAGAAGGCAGTGGACTCCCACATGGAATGGGCAAACAAGATACAACGGGTGGCAACACACTGGGTGCGAGGGTGCAATGCTAACACCGGAGAAGAAATATTACAGTTGTTCTTGATGGAACATTTCTTTCAAGATCTGGCTGCAGATATACAGGACTGGGTAAGAGATCGGCGCCCTGCCAATTTAACTGAGGCAGCGCGACTAGCAGATGAGTATGCAGAAACAAGGAAGGTGAGCCAAAGTAACACACGACCAGCCCCTAGAGCAGAGGCCCGCACTACAACCTACCCTGCACGCACAGAATTTCGGGCCCCAGTACCCCCAGGGCCTCCACGTCCCCAGGGGCATAACAACCATCCCCGGGAATCTTACAAAGTAACGTGCCATCGCTGCGGCAACACAGGACATATTGCCCGGTATTGCCCGTTGGGATCAGCCAATAATAACTGGAGGCGCCCACCTAACACCGAGAGCACACCGCCACGTCCAGCGGCTGCTCACTGCCTAGAAATTGAAGGAAGCCCTGAAGAGTGCCTGGGAATATTATATGAGGCCAACCCCATACAAGCAGCTTCCCCAGATAATCGTCAGCATCACCGTCAGGAGGTGCGTGTGAACGGACAGATAGCACAAGGCCTAAGAGACACTGGCGCTACCATTACCCTAATACAGAAACACCTTGTAAAACCAGAACATGTGTCGAATCGTACCGTGGCTGTTCGTGTCGCAGGGGGAGCTGTTTTTCGCTTACCCACCGCCAGGATACACTTAGATTGGGGAGCCGGGTCAGGAAAGACCACAGTGGGCATCATGGACAATTTACCCGCCGAGGTCGTATTGGGCAACGATATTGGCCCTCTAGCTTCAGCATTTTTACCCACTACTGCTGGTGCTTGCCCCGTGACCACCCGCTCACAGACCCGTATCGAGGACGATCCTACAACAGGTCGGGAGACCCAGGTAAGCCACAAGCAGACACCCCACACTAACATGACAGAGAGACCCATAGCTTGGGACACCCCAGAAGAATTTGGGAGGGAAACTAGGCAGGACCCCACCCTCCAAAAGTACAGGGAACTAGCTGACAGTAGGGGGGACGAGCGAGAACGTTTTGTATGGGAGGGGGACAGGCTATACAGATTGACCGAAGGCAGGAAGAGAGGCTGTGCCCCCTCGCAGAAGCGCCAATTAGTGGTACCCAGAAAGTACCGGTGGGAGCTTCTCCGAATTGGCCACGACATTCCGTTGGCAGGGCATCTAGGGGGTAACCGCACAACCTTCCGGATCACCCAGACCTTCTTTTGGCCAGGGATCTCGAAAGATGTGCGCCGTTACTGCAGCACTTGTGATGTATGCCAGAGGGTGGGAAAGAGAGGGGATCACCCCAAAGCCCGACTGTTACCCATGCCAGTGATCGAGGAACCATTTAGCAGGGTGGCAGTCGACCTAGTGGGACCCCTACCTAACCCCAGTCCCTCTGGTAAGAAATATATTCTTACTGTAGTAGACTATGCTACCCGCTACCCAGAAGCCGTCGCTCTGACGAATATCCAGGCTGACACTGTCGCCAGTGCTCTAGTTGGGATCTTCACCAGAGTAGGATTTCCCCGGGAAATCCTGTCGGATCGAGGGACCCAGTTCACCGCAGACCTAACTCAGCAGTTATGGAAGGCCTGCGGTGTCCAATCCCTCCTTAGCTCCCCGTACCACCCTCAAACTAACGGTCTCTGTGAACGCTTTAATGGTACCCTAAAGCAACTACTGCGTACCTTTACAGCGGAATACAGGGACTGGGAGCGATTCTTGCCACACCTCTTGTTTGCATATCGAGAAGTGCCGCAAGAATCCACAGGGTTCTCCCCATTCGAATTGCTCTACGGACGGCGGGTACGAGGCCCCCTCGACCTGATCCGAGAGCACTGGGAGGGAGAGACAGAACATGAGGGGGTCCCCATCGTCCCATATGTACTGGAGATGCGGGACCGCATGGGGCACCTAGCCAGGATGGCCCGAGAGCATCTCCAAGCGGCCCAAGGCAGACAGAAACATTGGTACGATCGGGGCGCGAGATTGAGAACCTTCCAGGTGGGACAGAAAGTCCTAGTACTTAGACCCGTTAAAGGGAACAAATTACAAACCTCCTGGCAAGGCCCTTACAAGGTGGACGCACAGATCTGTGACACCACCTATGTAATTGCCAGTAGCAAGGACGAGAGGATACAGAAGTCCTTCCATATAAACTTACTGAAAGAGTACCAGGAAAGGCCCGAAGACATAGCAGCCATATGTATCCCAGCCACTGAGGACCCGGACAGTCTCCCCATCCCGGATCTACTAACTAACCCCGAGTCTAAAACTTTGCTTAACACTGTACAGCTAGGGGAGCGACTAACGCCCACCGAAAGAGAGCAACTCCAGCAGATGCTAGCGGCAAAAAGATTGACGTTTTCCCAGGAACCCGGTTACACACCCTTAGCGACACATTACGTAGAGACCCCAGGACAAAACCCTCTCCGACAGACTCCCTATAGAATTCCCGAAGCCGTGAAAGAGGAGATGAGAAAGGAGATTCAGGAAATGTTAAAGCTAGGAGTTATAGAACCCTCCGACAGCCCCTAGGCATCCCCAGTCGTCCTAGTCCCCAAAAAGGACGGAACGACCCGATTTTGTGTCGACTACCGACGCCTTAACGACAGAACTGTGACAGACGCATACCCCATGCCCCGAGTAGACGAACTATTAGATCGTATTGCTAGGGGACGCTATCTGACCACCATCGATTTGTGCAAAGGGTACTGGCAGATCCCCCTGGCCAAGGACGCTATCCCTAAGTCGGCGTTTGTCACCCCGTTTGGCTTGTACCAGTTCAAGGTCATGCCTTTCGGGATGAAAAATGCCCCAGCTACCTTTCAGTGCTTAGTGGACCGCCTCCTTGATGGCTTCCAGGAATTCGCTTGCGCGTACCTGGATGACATTGCGATCTATAGTGAGACGTGGGAAGAACACCTACGACACGTAGAGGCTGTGCTGGATCAGATTAGGGCCGCCGGCCTAACCCTGAAACCAGAGAAATGTAACTTTGGTATGGCCGAAGTTCGGTACTTGGGACACAGAGTGGGGTGTGGGAAACAACGACCAGAACCCGCCAAGGTAGAGGCCGTAGCGAATTGGCCCATCCCCCACACTAAGACCCAGGTATTAGCCTTCTTGGGAACGGCAGGGTACTACAGAAAATTTGTCCCTGACTACAGCGCCATCGCCAAACCTCTGACCGATTTAACGAAGAAAAATTTACCTAGAGTAGTCCTGTGGTCTCCCGCCTGTGAAGCAGCATTCCAAACCCTGAAACAAGCTCTGATCAACGCACCTGTTTTGTCTGCCCCCGTCCCTAATAAAAGATTTGTCGTCCACACAGATGCGTCCATGTACGGACTGGGGGCAGTGCTAAGCCAGGTCGGAGAAGATGGGGGAGAACACCCTGTCGCATACCTGAGTAGAAAGCTATTGCCCAGGGAAGTGAGTTATGCGGCAGTGGAAAAAGAATGTCTAGCCCTGGTCTGGGCCCTAAAGAAGCTCACCCCCTACCTTTATGGTCAGGAATTTACCCTGATCACAGACCATAACCCTCTAGTATGGCTGAACCGAGTGGCTGGGGACAATGGACGACTACTGAGGTGGAGCCTAGCCCTACAACCGTATAATTTCTCCATCCAGTATCGCCCAGGCCGGTTCAATGGGAATGCAGACGGACTGTCCAGGCAAACAGAACTTTTACATTAGAGGCAGACCGGACAGCCCCAAGTTGACCCGAAAAAGGTCAATCCGGGTCTGCCGGAGTGTTCCACAAAAGGGGAGCAGTGT